TTTTCATAAAAAGCGCTCCCGAAAACTTAAGAGTAGACCCTGATATCGATTTAATCTAAAAGGTTAAAAAAAGTCGAGGCCGGGAGCGGTCACACCTAAAATCCGACATTATTTTCATAAAAAGCGCCCCCCAAAACCTAATAGTCGGCCCTGATATCGATTAAATCGGAAAAGTTACAAAAAGTCAGTGCCCGGAGGGAGGGGAGGGGGGAGAGGGGTCACACCTAAAATCCGACATTATTTTCATAAAAAGCGCCCCCCAAAACCTAATAGTCGGCCCTGATATCGATTAAATCAGAAAAGTTACAAAAAGTCAGTGCCCGGAGGGGGGGAGGGGGTCACACCTAAAATCCGACATTATTTTCATAAAAAGCGCCCCCCAAAACCTAATAGTCGGCCCTGATATCGATTAAATCGGAAAAGTTACAAAAAGTCAGTGCCCAGGGGGGGGGGAGGGGTCACACCTAAAATCCGACATTATTTTCATAAAAAGCGCCCCCCAAAACCTAATAGTCGGCCCTGATATCGATTAAATCAGAAAAGTTACAAAAAGTCGGTGCCGGTGGGGGGGGGCGGGGAGCCGTATCTAAAATCCGACAATATTTTTATAATAAGCGCCCCCTAAAATCTAATTATCGACCTATATATCGATTAAATCAGAAAAGTTACAAAACGTCGGTGCCCGGGGGGGGGGGCCGTATCTAAAATCCGACAATATTTTATAATAAAGCGCCCCCTAAATCTAATAGTCGACCCATATATCGATTAAATCAGAAAAGTTACAAAAAGTCAGTGCCCGGGGCAATTTTCATAAAAAGCGCCCCTGATTACATAACAGTCGATCCTAATATCAATTAATAAAATGAAATAAATAAATTTTCCTCTAGTGTTAGCGTTAAGTTAGCTTTTAGTTAAGTTAATAGATAATTTAGCTTAAGCTAAAAGTTAGCGGTACGTTTCCGCTAATAGCTAATTTAGCGCTAAAGTTATCTGCGCTAAAACAGCTGGAAGCTAAATTAGCGTAATATTTAGCGCCGCTAATTTTAGCTTTTTAGCGCTACGTTAGCTAGTTAAAAATTAGCGCGCTAACGCCCAACTGTGGTCAAGATGATAGATTATTAGCACATTCTTGATGAATAATATTTTCGCCATATTAATGAATAAAAAATACAAAAATATGTTACATTAATAACAGAAATACCATATTAGGGATCATTATACTGAAATACATCTTAATATTTAATCTACCATGATACCAAAAGTCCATTTTTTCGCTTTTAACCGCTGACCACGAAAAAAAAAAAACGATCACTTTACACGCGAATTTTGCAAAATGGCTGATGATGCCTGCTCAAATACTTTAATGAGGCATACTTCAAAATATTTAATTGTACATTGCTGTTGGATGTGCATTATCTCACGAGCGGGTCTATGGGAGACGGGGGGGAGGAGGGGGCTTTGGAGCTGAAGACTCCCCCAAAATGGTAAAATATAACCATGTTTTATGGAAAAAAAAGTTATCTCTTAAAGCATTATTGTTCGTGTGATTACATTTAAAAGGGCTTTATCAATCACTTAAACACCATCTCATATAGGTAGTTAGTTTCTTTCTTTTTTTCCAAAGTAATTATCGTTATTTTTATGATAAAAAAAGCTTTCGGGCTGAAGAGCCCCCAAAATTAAATCCTGGATCCGCTAGTGCATTATCTGTTGTTAACAATGCCACAGATACGACAAAATCACAAACGCAACCAGAAGAAACAAGACAACGAAATAAACAGAACCCCAACCGTTTAAAAAAACGCTAACCGTGAAAACTATGATATTTATCTTTAATCAATTTTATCGTGCGACCTTACATTAATACTCGAATTGCTAAAGAGTGGAGGATAAATAATTTTTATTTTTTTATTTTGTTATTTTAAATTTGCCACTGCGTTGGAACGCATCGAGCAAATGTGTTGGCGTTAATTATATCTTCTTGAATTCCTGACATCTTCTTAACTTTTCAACAGATCTCTAGGCCACTGCCTTTTTACTCGTCTTTGAGGCTCACCAGGTAACAGGGAGGAAGATAGAGATAGAACGAGTGGATTTGGATGATTGAGAGTAGAAGTGTGAAATGTTGTGTATTTGTTGTGTATGTAGGATTTTACTTTTAGTATGTTCATGTCTTTGTGTATGGTGTGATTTGAAATAAACCAAGGAGCATTGACAATTTTACGGAGTATTTTGGATTGTGTGGTTTGAATTTTGTTGATGTGTGTGTGTTTTGCGGAACCCCTAAGTTCTGCTCCGTATGTCCAAATAGTTCTTAGTATAGTGGTGTAGATTAGTCGCTTGTTTAGTAAGTTGAGTGGAGATATGTAGTCTAAAAGATGTGACAGTAGTTTGTATAGATTAAATATTACCATGTTTTATGAAAAAAATATTATTGTTCGTCTGATTACAGTTAATTGAACCCCAAGAATGAGTTAAACACCGTTTCATGTAATTAGTTAGTTTATTTATTTTTTCTTCCAAATTATCTTAATATATGTATAAAAAAAAAAAGCTTTCGGGCTGGAGCCTCCTCAAAATTAAATCCTAGATTTGTTGGTGATTAGAACGACCTTTAAACAACATTAATTAAATTAACAATAATACGAGTATAAATCATCTGCATGGTCTTTGTAAGGTACAGAATCGATAAAATCTACCGATTTTTAATGAAAATTTTAGACAAGAAAGTGAAAAAACCTGAGGGTTTGATACGTGGTAGACTGAATGAACTGTAATTACGAACGGAAAGACCACTGAAAACACATCATTATTGTCTCTACATTTTTATTTATCTTCATCAACTATTTCTATTAAAAAAAAATAATAAAATTAGTTTATTACTTGGAAGTGAGGAGATTTTTCAATAAGTTATTTTATTTTTCAGATTCGGATTGTTGAAAAGGTATTGCATCCGTTGCCTTGGCATTTTTTTACATTTAATTAATTAAGATTCCTACACGGTACTTGTGTTCAAATCAACCTATGAGTACCTAACATACTGAGTACCCAATATTCGATCATTTAATTGTACCTTGGTACGAGTTTAATCAAAATCGATGGAGCCGTTTTCTAGTATATTGTAAAATTATGTAAAATCGATTATGTAAAGTTCTATTTCCGGTAAGCCTATTTTGGTGATAAAGTTGCAGCAGCATCTTAAGTATTTACATATCTCAAAAACTTAATATCACCTTTTTATTACTTTTCATTTTTTAGCTATGATCAGGGGTGGTGCACAGAAGGGGGTTTCATGGCCCAAGTTGCGCCATCAAAATTTTTGAGGGAGGTATATTTTGACCGGTTCTGGATTCTTTGAGGGTGGCAAATTTCGACAGAGGTATGAATTTTCGGACTAAGGGACATGGGGGAACAGAACAGACCGCAGCAAGTGTAGTTGTATATGATCTACGATTTTCTTAATTCTACCTTAACTTCTTTTGTTTTTAAGAAAAGATGAGCAATAAAATATCTTGGGAGGAGGAGGGCAGGTAGGTTCTTGCGCCATCGACCATGGGGGGACGGACCCTTCTGGCTATGATGTTCAAAAATAAACAGACAATTTTGCAAGATTTGTTTATTTAGAACCAGAGTATCATAAAAGGTACGTATATTACGTATTACGTGAGTATGTGTAAATTAGTATGATGTCGTTTGAGATTGCTTGTATGTATAAATATTTAGCTCTATAAAGTTTCTTTAGCACATAATTGGTACAAGTTTATACTAGAGCATGTTTGTTGGAACGGAAAACGCAAGTTTCCGCTCTCTTTGGCATAAGCTAGATATTCATCCTCTGGCGGATATCAGCTCTGTGATCTATTTATAGAACAAATTGGACCAACACCCTCCTTATTATCGATAATACGAGGATAATCTGAAATTCGTCTTATAGCCAGAATCCCCTTGTATAAATCTCTAATTCCAATACATTTATCATCAGTTGTTACAACGACGCAGTGGTTGAAAACCGATTTTTTTTTCGAGAGAAAAAACCCTGCCATTGCTGACCTGCAAACCACAAGAAAATAGTTTTGATATTATTTAATCACAATTCAATTTGCTATAAAGTATACACATTAAAATCTCTCTAAACCGGCTCTCCGGATTGACCGGTATCCAGGATTTGATTTTGGGGAGGGCTTCAGCCCAAAAGGGTTTTTTATTTAACGATGATTACTTCGGAAGAAGAATTACTACCTATATGAAATGCTGTTTAAGAGTTTCTTGAAGTCCTAGTAAATGTAATTATACCTACAAAAATAGGTAAGGTATAATTTTTTTAATAAGAAATGTGTATATTTTTCTAATTTGGGGGAGAGGGGACTTCAGTGGGGAAGCTTCCCTCTCCCCCCTCCCTCCCATAGATCTGCCTTTGACTAGTGATAAAAGGAATTAATTTTTTTTTCTCTTAGAATTGGCAACTTGTAGGTTATGAAGAAATGAAACTATTTATGAAGTTTCAGGTGGATGTTAATAATTGGATAAAAAGGGGTCTGTACCACGGACTATTATTATTATTATTGTTGTAATGAAATAAAAAATGACAGTAAATACTTCAATGATATGGCTTTCACTTAAGCTAAGTAATTGCCTGATACACTGTTAGTAAGAAGGGCTTATTCCAGAATCCTTTATTTCATGCCCAGACCTCTCCTTCCTGTCCCAGGACCAAAATGTTTATGGTTAAGCTAATTTTATGGCAATAGATTTCACTGCAGGTAATAAATGACCTTGGCCATAGATTTCTAGAATTTTGGTTACTATATATACAATGACTAGCTTAAGACATTAAAATGGATGTGCTAATTACGGAAACAAGATTTACTTGTTTCATGGATTCAGAGGCATATCAAAATTTAAAAAAGACAACCTTGTTGGTTGAAATTGAGAAGTAATGCTCAATAAACATAAAACTTATTTACATAATATTTAAAGGATTATTTAATTAAAAGTAAAAATAAAAATAGAAAAAACAAGTTTTATTTCAATATTTATAACAATAAATAAATTGAGAAAAATATCCTTTTGAAAAAACAAAACAAATATATACATAATAAACCTATGTTAAAAATTGTAAACTATCATATATAATGCAAAGTAATTATTAGGCTTCTCCAGTTTTTATGATCCGAATCAAAGCATTTACATTGTTGCTAGCTAAAGCATTTCTGCATAATCCAGCAATTTCTCCTTTTATTTTACCAACTAAAAAAAGGGTAACATAAATTAGCAATAATAATTGATATAAATTATAAAAGACAACAGTTATAATTAGTGATTAAACTGTACCAGTATAAACTATCAAACTTCATATATAATTTTATTTACATAATTTATATTGCATGTTATTTTGGACTTAGTAGTATATTTTCAATTATCCTCTCACCTACAAAACCTTTTCTAGCTCCTACATATTTAATGTTATCTTATCAAATTACACTAATTTTTATAATTTTCTTAATATTTAACATTAGTCATTTTAAAAAAAAATTATAAACATTAATTATTTATTTAATGATATTAATAACAATTTTATAAAATATTACTATAATAATAAATGGGACAGATAGACAATTCAGTATATGCTTAATATAATAAATCATACCGAATTAAGAGGTCAGTGACAAGTTACTTATGATGTCACATAAGTTCCCAAGTTCAAGTCCAGCTGTGGGAGGTAATTACTTATTATGTTGTATCAGCTATGGATCAACATTGGAACAGGTGACATTTTTTCAAAACACATTAGGAGCACAACTAGCTTCTAAAAAGTGGATTTTCTTAATTATTGAAGAGGAAAAACCTGGTTGACCAATCAACAGTACAAAGTACTGAACCCAAAAACTGCGAAGGTTAGTAGTGATGGTTTTTTTTTTAATTAAAAAAACTTTGTTAATCATTACATGATACATTAAGTTTAATTTAGCAAGAAAATATTATGATAAAATTGGCTACAGATGCTTCAGAAATTTTGCCGATGATATGGGAGTTGAAAATTATATCTGAAATATGTATGAAGTTTGATGGACATTATTCACTGGATAACTATTATGTATACAGATGATTCTCAAATCCTGCGTAAAAGAATTTGTTGTCATGGCAATCGGCTATAAAGACCGAATATTCCTGGTTCCGTGGAGGATATAGTAAATATTATCCAGCGTAGTTGCACAATTTATTCACTAATTAAATCAACACAAGAGTAAGTGTTTGTAATAATAATGATTATAAAGTTAGTCAATACCTCTTAACCTAGATGCATGCTGAATAATTGTATTTATACTTCTTAGTGTTTTAAGTAGTTCATTGTGATTAGCACACCTGAGTGCATAAATTCTTAGAAGTTCACTATTAACTTGCTGTAACTGACTATAACATTCTCTCAAATCTTTCCTAACAAATCAAAACATATATATTGATTAAATATAAAATAACTAATATTAGAATGGAAATAAAATACTATATAAAATGTGCTTTTTATTATGATATCTTAATTATACATTATCTTAAATCTTTAAATAATGAAGAACCAATATAGCATATAAAACTCAGCTTAACACTGAAGGACAAAAGTATTTTGCTAAAAAGGTATTGGATATAGAAAATAATAATTTAAACAACAAAAAAACAAACAGACCAAATGCCTCAAATGTTACTAGGTATCTGAACTACTTAAGCACTGATCTAAACTGCTCTTAGGAAGGCAATGTCAACCACTACAGACTTTCATGGACTTCTTTGTTTTTACTTCCCTTCCTTTATGTTGTTGTCATTGACATAATTACACTGAATATGAAATATTCACTTCTTTCTATTTACTTAACATAATTTAGATAATGAATAAACAATGAAATTTGACTTTGATTTAGAACAGATATACAGGGCTATGTATGTAAAATTACTTCGAATAGACTCCTCCCTTATTATTTTTATTTTAAATTGATTATTGAAAATATTGCAATCTGTCTCAAAGTACATTTATAATAGTGTTCAGAGATCACGTTCACACTCAATGTACAATGATAATAATATAAATACAATAAATAACCTTATTATTGCGACTATTAACCTTATAACCTTGTTATTGCGGACCAGACTATTCTCATCTTTTCATATTGTTAGACACAAGACAAATTACATGAAACTGTTAACAAATCATGTGTTTGTATTAGATATTAAACAATGTTCATATTAAAACTATCATTTAATTTATTAAAATATCAAATAATTACCTATAATTTTAAATTATATAGAACTGTAGGCACAAACAGAAAGGTCAATATCAGTCTGTAATAGTTGAGAAAATTCCTCTTGCAATAGTGAATGGAGTGATTTTTGATCATGTTTGTACACCCACATTTTCTTATTAATTAAATCATATCTTTTAGGACCACTCACTGGAGAACTTAACCAAATTTGTTTATTGGGCGTTTGTCTATTTATAACATATGTTCCCTTTTCTCCTAATGACATGGTTAACACACCACTGCTATAGGTAATATCTGCACCCTTCAGATCAGCACATCTGTCCACAAGAGTTTCAAAGAAATCCAATAATGACTCTAAAGTTTCATTGCATATTTTCTCAAATTCTAATTCTGTCAATATTTTAACTTGTTCTGATTCATTGCTGTATTTTAGCACAGGTACATCTAAAACCTTACTGTTTTTTAATACAAAATCTAACTTATTAACATTTATTGTATGTATATGATTTAAATATGGGTGAGTTATAGCACACGGAAGGAAACGCAACACCCGAGTTTTTGAATAAAACCTAATCAAACCGAACATAACAACCTTTTTGATAAAAACGTCTCTTTTTGATAAAAACGTAAGATAACATAACCTTCAACGGCGGCACTACTGTAACCTCCAATATACGGGAAAAAATAGAAATGCCATCAAAATAATAGTACAAATTAATCTTCAACATTTTATGAATAAAGCCACATGAAAAAATATACTCGGGATAAAAACTATAATAATTACATTTTCAAAAAACGTATAATTAATATGAGATGCAAGAAGATGTTATTTCGTATTACGCTTACGTTTTCAGTAAGTCTTGAAGAGCACATTTGAACTTAACCTGTAGTAGTAAAGAAATATAACAATTTTGTGTTTACTCTCGGATAACTTCAAAGCTTTTGTAACTGTAAATGTGAGGTAAGAATACTATTATTGGTATTTAAAATTAATCATTGCAACTCATTACGAATGTTTTATTCTTAAAAGTGACAAGTAAAAATAAATTCACTAATTTTGCTGTTAAAAGGGATTTAATGAGCTATTTAATAAAATGTAAAACCATTAAAATATCTATTCAAAATTTTGAGTACTAAAAAAAAAATTAGGTACACTAAAACATCTTTCATGAATGCATTAATTAAAAGGATTACAATGTAAAATATTTGTTAATTTTTTAAAATTAAACTGAAGTGATAATAAACCAGTAAATTTATCAAAATTATTTTGTATTTAGTTATTGCATAACAAACAATTTAGTCAGTACATGAATGTTTACATCTTAAAAACTGATAAAACATTAAAAGGTAATGTAACTTTCATAACCAAGAATTGCATGCTTGCATAAAATATTGTCACATGTAAATTAAATTTGCCCCCAAAAAAAAATTAATTACAAATTTTAGACTTAATATTATGGATGATGATATCTTTTCAAGCCAAACTTTTACTGATTTCTTTGTACCAAAGTAATATATTTGAGAGACTCCAATTCAAATCTGTGTTGGAATAATAATATCCATGTACTGCTCTATTTAAGAATCACTATCCTATGATCATACACATCGTTTTTTGACCGAATGACAACAACATAAGAAAATCAGTGTAAAATGTTCATGAGCGTGCATACTTTTTCATTTTAACAAAATCTTTGAGAGTAACTTACCACAAAAACAAGCTCTATATTGAAATTTTTGAATCCTAAAAATCTTAACATCTTTTTATATGCATATGTGAGATTGTAAGACATTCCAAGAGTGCTGTACTACCACTTTTTTGTGAGAATTCATTATAATTATAATTTTACTTTTATTTTCTGCCTTGTGTACAGTCTTACTTCACCACAGTACATTACTTTGATTGTGAATAAGGTTTTTTGTTTCATGTACATGACAGGATATTTTAAGTGTCAGTGGATAGTTTAAGCATAAGTATGTTTGAGCATAGTTAAATAATACTATGTTTTGTTTGTACTAGTAAATTATTTTTCTTGTTTTTTAATAAATGTATGATAAATTAATAGACATAACATTTTTAAATAATGTAATATAAAAATATTTTTGAAATGTTACAAATTAAGGAGGGTTATGAGAACTTTTTTAAAGATTTAAAGTAGTGTGATCAATTAAATGTTTTAAGAACAAGGGTTATAAGTCAATGCTATAATATTTAAAACCTTAAAGCAAAATGAATTAAATAATTCTAAGCAACATTTAGTTTACTTACATGTATTTTAAAAGCCTTGAATCCTCACTTTGTACTATTAGCGCCCTGATAAGGTTGGAAGTATCTGCAATTGTAGCAGACATTTTAGATGCATTTTGTTGCAATTCTTCAATATGTACGAATGTTTCTCGTAATTGTTCATACACAAAGGGGAACTCTGCAAATGACTAATAAAAAATTCTTAGATATCCAAGCAAGAATAAAATATACAAAGGATAAATGTTCTATTTATTTACTTGTACAACATCCATGTTGAAAGTTTGAGCAATAGACTGCACTATATCTGCTGCAATTGACATGTGAGGAGTTGCAATAGTCATAATACCTGATTCGACTTTCATTTGTAATGAAGAGTTGTCTCTTAAGCAGGTCAAAGAAACACTCCAATCCGCACTGCTAGGTCCTTCTCCTCCTCTTTCTTCTGAATTGGACCCGACCAAAAAGTTCTGATTCTGCCATGTTTCTAACTATAAAAACATTTCAACACAGTAATTGCAATGTCATGTCTTCATTTATTAGTAGTACACCAATTTTGAAGTAAAATATGTGACTATTCGTGTTATATAAGTTTGGATACATAACTAATGTACTAATATTCAGCATAATATATAAAAATATTGAATTTTTTAAGTATTAAAAACCTTATGATACTTCTGTAAAATTCATTCGACTTTTAGAAAATAGTACATTTTTGTTATATGAAATATAACAAAGAACAGGCAGAAACAAATTATTCACAATTTGTATACTATTATAGGTTATAATAGTATTAAGAAAAACTTTTAATAAGTCAAGGCTAGAAGTCCATGTTAAACTGTTTATATAACATCAAATTTTTCTAAAGTATTTATGGGAGTTATGAGACATTCAAAAGATTACTTTGTTTGTAATGCCTTAATTAGAGCAAAAAACATTAGATCTGCTAAAATCTAACAGAACATTAATTGAACCCATAAGAATGGTTATTATAATTCTTAAATTTCTGTTTCTTCTTTTTTAGTTTTAAAAATTTCATACATTTATAAATCCGCACTGTCATGAATAGGTCTAGAATATGTTTATTTCTTCACTAGTATAACTTATTGAGATGAATATTTTAACTTATATTATTGCTTGTTGGTACGGAATGGCTTAAAGTATATAACACCCTAACCCACTTTCCATGTGTTACACATCATAATTTCCAAATGCTTATTGTAAAAATATCAGTTCTCTCTGTTACATCTCTTTCTTTCCCTCTTGACTGAAAAGACTACAGGATTGTTACCACTGTATTTATGTATATGATACCTTAAAGTTGGAAGTCTGATTTTATTTTGGCAATAGTCCAAAATGTTTTCTTTAGTTACAATATTTCATCAAAATTGAATGAAAAGAATACTAATACTTAATTAAGTTTTTGGAACCATTCATTGTCAGTGAAAATTATCATCTTACAAATTTAGAAAATGGCACCTTCAATGCCTAGATTTTTTTATAACTCAGTAAGGAGAACAAAAAATAAAGAGTATCAGAATCCAAGAAGTAACCATTAAACAAAAACAAGTGCAACATGAATGCATTAGACAAATATGGGTCAGCGTTTGTAATAAATGAAAGGAAAATTTTTAATTTATGTGTTCTGCTTATTCTGGGTAAAAAAACACTAAGTATACTAATATTATTTAATGTTTATATTTTTCTTAAGGAAGAGCTTTATGTTATTTTAGGTATGAAGTATGAAAACTTTTCTCTTCCGTGTGTTTCAATTTATTCATCTGTCTAACGTTTCGGACTCTTTGTCCATCTTCAGAGACATTTCCTTTCACTGTTAGAACATCGTAACATAATATTATTAATATTTGTTACAATTTTTCCATATATACACTTATTTGTTTAAAATGTATTTACAATATATTTTTATTTTACTTTCTGCATGTTATTAACATTTGTCTTTGTTTTTTCCTATTCTATTTAACAATTATATACCGAACTTAGTAAATTTTCATTATAGCTGGTTATTTAAGTGGACTTTGTTCTAATCCCTCCATTCTATCCAGCACTTTCTTATGAGTTTGTTTGGTTCTGCTCCTGACTATTGTTTTATATCTTTTTTAATTTTTTTATGATATGTGCAAAGTGGTTATTTAGATTTTTTGTATCAGTTTCATAGTTTATTGTTTTTTCTATTTTTTGTGCGCTGTATTATGTTTATAATGTTTGTATTATTAAAATCAAAAGTATGGTATTTTATTATACTATGTTGTGAGAGGGCAGTTGTGTTTATGTTTTTTACACTTTTGCAGTTATTTTTATGTTGATTGATTCTAGTTTTGAATTTTTTGGAGGTTTCTCCTATGTATACTTTCTTGCAATGTATGCATGCTATATCATATATGGTATTTCGTTTTTATATAAGTTTTCTATTTGGTCCTTCATATTCAATAAATGGTTTTCTAATTTATTGTTATTATATATTTCAAGTTTTATATAGTGGTGATCATATGTGATGAGTGTTCATCTTATTTGCCAGGTTTAGGATATATCCCATTTGGTGATGTTTATTTAATAATATTATCTTCTTAATTTAATAATAGTTCTCTATATTGTCTTTTATTTTGTTTTTTCTATTTCTATTATTTCTTTGGTATTTTTATTATTAGTGTTATTAATTAATTCAGTGTGTGGAATTTTTTACCATATTTTATCTATACGTTTTTTAGGATAAAAATTCTCGTCCAAAATATTTTGGATTTGTGTTTTGATATTTTTCTTGTGAGTTATTGTCTTTTTTCTTTTTATGAATTTTTTATAGTATTTATTTTTTGTGTTATGGAATGGTTTGAATTATAGTTTTGTAGAACATTGCTGGTAATAGTATTTTTTTTATTTTTTTTTGTCCATTTGGTTATTTCTCTATTGAGGAATCTAATATTGTTTTTCTTTGGGTTTTCTATTATAAATTCCACCTTTTTATGTTGTTTATTAAATATATGTAATATGTTATTTCGGGTCTCCGCATTTCTGTTATCATTATTATGTCATTTAAGTTTTTTTTTTTGTTTTTTTTTTTGGTGTTATTGGTATTTTCTCTAAACTATTTTTTATCAGGTTTTTTATGTGTATACTATTGATACTAATGGCTAGATTTGAACCCATAGGTAATCCTTCACGTAGTATTCTTTATTATATATACAAAAGCTATTTTTTAAGCATGTATTTAATCCTTCGTAAATATAGAAAAAATAGTAACAAATATTAATAATGTTGATGTTCTAACAGTGAAAGGAAATGTCTCTGAGGATGGACAAAGAGTCCGAAATGTTGGACAGATGAATAAATTGAAACACACGGAAGAGAAAAGTTTTCATAATACTTTATACCTGAAGTATATTAAGTAAATTTCAAAACATCATTCTAATTGTACTACCAACAGTAGCATGTTACTTAAAACTACAGTAAAAATGTAGCATTGAATATTGTGAAATTTTTTTTAAATACTACTGGTACAAGAGGTTTCTCAAACCTCTTCTCCAATAATCAAATCTAACCAAAAGAAGTATTTAAACTAAAAGTTATGTCAATTATTTAACTACCTTATTTGGTTTCCAGGGCTCATAAAATTGATTTAAAACATTATTATAAATGTAGAAATACTTCAATTAAAATAATGAACTAATTTCAAAAAAACAAAATTAATACTAAATGTGCAGTGCACGTACCACTCAGCAGTGCTTAGGTGCAAAACCAACTTGTTAGTCTGTTACCCTTGGTGCTCTCTCATTTAATCGGAAGGTAACATAACTCTCTGGTATTAATTTTGAAAGAGGGTTCGATAATGTATACATTGAAAACCGTGGTAGTTGCCTTGTCACTTCAAAAACATGGTACTGAGATCTGAATGGATCAGGTCCAACAAAAGCCTTTAAAAAAAAAATTAATTATAAATTCATTTTTCATCATTTTTATGAGAATATTTATATAATCATATGTATAATAAATAAAAAAAAACTGAAATTACTTAGGTATTTATTTTATAATATTCAGCATCATGCATTAGAAATACATAATAAAAAAAAAAAAACTAAAGTTTGATACTTTTTAATATTTGGTATTGCTGTTTATTTATTAATTATTATTTATTAAGAATTGTTTTACTCTTATTACCCAGTAACAGTGATATAAAGCAATACCTTAATATGAATATCCAGGGGTGTATCCTTTGGTATAATGAGAGGTATTTCTAATTGCGAAGAAACTTGTTCTGGCTTGGGATGTATAACTAGAGTTTCACCTTCAAATATTCCTTCTGCAAAGATGGCAGCTGCCCTTATGACCATCAGATTATTGGTCGACAATGACACAAGAACATGGCCACTCTGTAATACACAATATATGTGATCATTTTGAAAAATAATTACTGTTTTTTTGGTACGTTTTATAAATTTACCTGCAGTTGTTTGGAGCCAGTGCTTACGTTTATTTCTGCTAGAAGTCTAGTATTGGCCTGAAAACAAGTATTTCTTAAAAATAGCATTAAAGAACTGGAGGCTGATTTTGCAAATTGGATAAATATTCTTTTTCCTTAAATGGTATCAATTACCATGTGAAACATAATATTCTCACATTTGAAAAATGGACATCAATAATGGGTTAAATGCTTGATTGTCACCAATAATAATTAGTCTGATTTTTGGATAGTTAGCAATGACATTTAGCTTGCTTTTTTGGACCTAATTCAATTTTTTTTTAGTCATAACAGCCCAATATTGATTTGCAAATATTTAATTTTTTTTTATACTTGGGTCAACTAGCAGATCCAGGATTTCATTTTGAGAGGGCTTCAGCCCAAAAGCTTTTTTTTTTTTTTTTAATATATATATAATATAATTGCTTTGTAAGAAAAAGAAAGAAACTAACTACCTATATGAAATGGTGTTTAAGTGATTCTTGAAGTCCTATTTAATGTAATTACATGAACAATAATACTTTAAGAGATCTTTTTTTTTTTTTCCCCATGAAACATGTTTATATTTTACCATTTAGGTACTTCAATCCGAAAACACCCTCTCACTCTCTCTCTCCCTCTCTCTGTTTGAATTGTTTTAAAAATTCAATTTTCATTTTTCATCAATTAAAATTTATAAAAATACATTGCTAATAATACTCAACTGGTATTCCTGTCCCAGATGGGTCTCCAGCATAATTTTTTAATTCAGTTAGAAGAGTTTGCTTCTTAGACAGAAGTTCTCTTACTAAATCACCATGTTGCACTATATTTTTTGTAATGCTTGTCTGATCATAACCTCGTACTGAAAAAATATAGGTAAGTCTTTAGTAGAAAAAAAAAATTGTACATTCTAACTCTAAGCAGTTTTATTTGATATAAAAGTTGATAATGGGTTTCATGGCATTAGTAATTTACAGTTAAAGTTTGAAAATACTAACTTTCGCCATGGGTAGAACATACAATAAGTTGCGGTTTTCCACTCATTGTATAATCTCCTATCACAATGCCTGCAATACCATGAGAGAGAATGTCATGAAAGACAACTTCACCAGTTCTGATGTTTCTTGCATCCACTTTGCCATTAGACCATCCTATAATGAGCTCAGGGATGCCATCTCCATTTATATCATAGCTAGAAAGGCATACAGGAGCATTCTTCGACTAGTAAAAAATTATGAAAACCTTTTAAATTAATCATCAGACGATTCTATGTATAATTCCAAACAAAATAAATTATAAAATTAAATCATCAGTCCTATTTTATAACAAAAATACAATATATAATGCAAATTTTGTTTTAATTTAAGGAACTTTTGTCCAATTAACTTATTATTAATTCTTATAAATATATATACACATTATATATATATTTATCTGTTGGCATTACAGATCTTGTCAATTTTTTACCACCATAACCAGCCTTTTTCATCTTGGGCTTTTTATTTCCAGTTATCTACATGCAGCTCTAAATTCTATCTTAATAATTTTTATCTATCCATCTGATTTTTGGCCATGTGGTCTTTTGACAACAATTGAGGCATTCATTGTTGTGTAGAGGCTTCCTGTTAGACTGCTTTGAGCCACATGTCCTTCTCATCTTAACCTTATATTGATATCGGTGACAATATTGATTGACCAGTTTCTGTAAGCAATTCTTTATTGGCCTTCTCTTCCATCTGTTAGAACTCAGATCTCTTCGGTCATCAAGTGGGGATTTTTCTCAAATCTTACAACACTTCTTTCTAGGATGTTGTATCTTAGTGTGTCCAGATCTCGCTGCTGTGTATCATAACTGTTTTTATCATAGCATTGTACACCCCTAATTTGTGATTTCAGTATCTTTGAAAAAGAGAAGAAGGCTCTGTTTGTGCTTGTTATGCATTGGTCTATTCTCAACTGCTAGTCATTCTTGAGGTTATTTTGGAGCATAGTTTATTAACAATTATGTTGTCACTGACAATATTGACATGATTATTTAGTTCAGTTCACTGTACCTTCATTCTCATTTTATTAGTGCTAAATTAAGTTAATCTTGTAATCATTCAAAGACAATGACTAGCTCGGCAAGTGGTAATTATTAGTTTGTTGTAGAAATGGTTTCCTTTAAAATATAGTCAGTTTATTGCCAAAAGACATTAAGTAAGTAACATTTTATAAAACAAAATTACAACAGCTATTAGCAAAAAAAAAAAAAAAAAGCTGACCATTTATGGCATTTTTAATAGTACAATTCATATTAACAATTCATTTTATCTATAATACAAACAAATTTTGATAAGTATTTTTTCTATTTTATTTAATATATTGAATAATACTATTGTTTACTTATTATTATACCATTTGATAAGAATAAATATTACCTTCACCCTCCATACTCTAGTATATTTATCATAGACACCAACAGTTCCGTTTGATAAACAGTAAGCAAACTTGTGATCTCTGAGAGGTACTAAACAAGTAATTGCTTCAGTTTCTGTGACTTCGTGAATTAAAGCATCTTGCTTAAAAACTCTCAATTCAAAGTCATCAGAACCTACAATCAGCTTAAAAAACAAGGAATCTATTGAAATACATTTAGTTTCCAGTGAAATTGTCAGCTATCATTAATAATCAGATATGATGTTATTTACCTCATTGTCACCATCTTGATCTAAATCCAACAATGAAATAGATCTTACATTGTCTCCAGTGACAGTCCAATAAGGATCATTGCCTTGCCAATCAAAACCTTGAATGGAACAGTTTCCTCCAATTATGGCTAAGGGGGTGTTTATATTGCCAATTTTCCCTATGCAGATAGAGTTGGCACCATCAGGAACCTTAAACAATATTTTTTTAATGTAACATTCCAATGACACTATTTGTAAATTTAATCCATAAGATCTGTTACCTCTTTGTAGAAAAGATCTGTATTGTTTTCTACATGATATGCCAAAACAGTGGTCTTTGTCCCAATTACTAAAATATCTTTTTCCTCATTAGGGTTCAACTTTCCTGCACAAATGGATGTCACTGATTGATTCACATTGAGCATTGAAAGCTCTCTTTCCTTTAAATGTGGGCTATGAACGAACACCTTGAAAATAATGATAGGTGGCACAGTTGTATACTTTTTTCATTGAAAATGTAAGTGATAAGATAACCTAACCTACCTTATCACCAGTAGTTGCAGCGGTTATACAGGAATGAGATCCATCAAATTTTCCCATTGTTACTCTACCTGGGAGCATTCTCTGCTTCAATTGTATCGTAAACAGGGGTACAGTCATATTTGGAGCCGTTAATTTGTTGGATACAAGCAAACGGTAGGTGCCCTGTAACTCAACCACGATGACAGGAGGCAGTGTTGTGTTATGTGCTGCGCCCTACTGAGCAACCGTTCCCTTGAGAACGAGCTCGTAGTGAGCTCCTTTAGGACGCTGCGCTCCTGTCGGCTCGCTGTTTCCAATGTCCGTATTTTTCGTAAGGTGACGACCGACAGACGGGTCAAGGGTCCGTCCAGGCTGTCAGTCCTCGTCCATCACTCGACTGACAGGCGTTTAATTTACGACCTCGGGGAGTAGGGGCTCAGCTGCCGGCAGGAGCTCACTCTACTGGCGCCCTGTCTCCTCCTTGCGCCGGTAGATCGTGCTCGCCCTACCACCTCCTTCCCCCTCGATCATCCTTGAGAGAGAGGAGTGTGCATCGGCCACGATAATAAAAACTTTTTTAGTTCGGTCTAACTTATTATTTGTGTTTAGTGTATGATTTCGTTTATTTGAAACCATGTTCGTACTCATCTTAGCGGGATTGTATTGATATTTTATGTGAAGGAAGAAAAGAAGCGTATTTAAACTTGTGCAACTTAATGTTTCTCTGTTGTGGACTTACAGATCTGTCCTCTGTTATTTGTTCACAGGTAATAACATCTTGGAATAAATAAGTGCAATGGGTTTTTCATTTATTAAACTCTTCTCAAAAAAATGTGGCATATGCTGGCACATCTAAAGAATCCAGTCATAAGTTTAGCTTTACTACCTTCTAAACTTATCTTACTATTTGGTAATTGCGCAAATTATATTAGAATAAGCATGCTATAAGCTTATTTTTGGATTTTAAACACTAATTGCTTATTAAATAATAGTCATGTTTTGGTTGGTTAAAGTAAGTAAAGCTGGTGGCATTTTACATGTATGTTCTCAATCTAATGCATAATTTAGATTCCATCTTTACCAAGCTCATCATTTATTTCTGCTTCCATCCATTTGTGTTTCTCCCATTTTGATAATTAGTCTGATTTTATTTTATTTTTGTTATATATGGACCTAACCTCTGAGAGCTGATAGTACTACAACTCAACACAAGAGGTTATAATAAATTTTCTCAATCTTTTCAACTTCACCCTTGTTATTGGATTTTTTAAATCATATGATCATGATACTTCCATTGTATGGCATATATTGAAGTTAATCGATTGATAGAAATTCCATTCTTTATTTTAAAGTCATGTTATCATTCTTGTAAGTCATGAGTTGTATAGGCTATGTTACATGCATATCTTAAAATAATGTTGATTTTTAAATGTGCCATTTTTCATTTGATCCAATGTGGACTACATTATTTCTATTTTTATTTTGTATTATGAATTAAAATCATGTTCATAGCATATTGTTATTTATTCTTTTTTTTTTCTTTTCTTGTTTTCGAATGAATTAGTGATTTAGATTGAAATATTTTCTTCTAAACAAATTGTAATCATTAAATTTATTGATAATAAGAAGCTGGGTGAAATGTTTATATTAACCTGATTTTAGTACTCATCTGAACTACAGGTTTTATTTGCTGTTATCTGTTGAAGCATATGATGTGAACTTATGTTTTTTTTTTTTTTAAAGGAAAGATTATGGTTCTTCTTGGTTTATTGATTACATTAATTCTAAGTTGTTGATTTTATAGTGTAATCGGATATAGAAAGATCATATATAGGTTGCATTTATTATAATGGATTTCAAGTTTTAAATTAATTTAGGTAAGCGTTATTAAATTATTTTAATTTTTAATCGTTATCTGCTTTGATATATTTCCAAATCTTGAGCATAATTTCATCCTGCTTGCAGGTTATTTCTTAAAGGTTAAAATAAATTTCAATTCAGTTTATTTGGGTTAATTAGCTCACTATGTCCAATTTTATTGCATTTGTAATTTATCTTTTTATTGTTAGTTTAAATAATTATGTTAAAGAAAATAAATGTATTGCCCTTTTTAAATTAGGAGTATGTATGTGTCTCAGATGTATTAATAATATAAATCAGCTTTTGTGCTTTCTTTTCAAATTTTATTTTATTTTTATTTTTTTTCTTATATATTTTCTTCTCTTTTTTTAGGTGGTGCAAAGGCTCATGATTGGAAAAAAAGAACTTGTTCTTTAAGCAATATAAAATTATACTCTGTAGATATGGCATTGCCGAGTAAAGCTCAGATTTATACTGATGTTAATTCTCACAAACCTAAGGAGTATTGGGACTATGAGTCGTATGTTGTTGATTGGGGAAATCAAGATGATTATCAGTTAGTTAGGAAACTTGGACGAGGTAAATACAGTGAAGTTTTTGAAGCAATCAATATTACCAATAATGAAAAGTGTGTTGTAAAGATGTTAAAACCCGTCAAGAAAAAGAAGATTAAACGAGAAATAAAGATTCTAGAAAATTTAAGGGGTGGTAAGAATATTATAACTTTGTTAGGAGTTGTAAAAGACCCGGTCTCCCGTACTCCAGCTCTTATTTTTGAATATGTTAATAATACAGATTTTAAACAATTATATCAGACTCTTACAGATTATGACATAAGATATTATTTATACGAGCTTCTGAAGGCATTGGATTACTGTCACAGTATGGGCATTATGCACAGAGATGTTAAACCTCATAATGTTATGATTGATCATGACAATATGAAACTGCGACTGATTGATTGGGGTCTGGCAGAGTTTTACCACCCTGGACAAGAATATAATGTGAGAGTTGCTTCACGATACTTTAAAGGTCCAGAGCTTCTTGTAGATTATCAAATGTATGACTATTCTCTTGACATGTGGTCACTTGGCTGTATGCTTGCAAGTATGATTTTCCGGAAGGAACCTTTCTTTCATGGTCATGACAATTACGATCAGCTTGTAAGAATTGCCAAAGTGCTTGGGACTGAAGAACTTTTTGAATATTTGGATAAGTATCACATTGAATTGGACCCAAGATTTTCAGATATACTAGGAAGGCACTCCCGTAAACGATGGGAGCGTTTCGTACATAGTGAAAATCAGCATCTTGTTTCACCTGAGGCATTGGACTTCTTGGATAAATTACTCCGTTACGATCACAGTGCTAGGCTTACAGCTCGTGCAGCTATGGAGCATCCTTACTTCTTCCCAGTTCTTAAAGGTCATGGAGTGAATACTTCCCCACCAACATCTAATTCTGTCACCATGCCTGTTGGTACTGTTTCCTCTCTGGCATGAAATTTTTCTATTACCAGTCCTAAAATTTTATTTAGAATGCTACCTATCGTCGGAAGTCATCTATACCCAACAGCATTCATATTTGTTTAATACATCGAATATCATTAAGCAGTATGAATTTTTTTTGGCCATTATCTATTCTGCCCTTATTTCACTTAAATGTATAGTAAAACAAAATTTATTTATATTGCCGTAGAAAGAAGTTAATTTAGCTATTGATTTATAGTTATGATTTGAAATAGTAATGTATTCTGTCAGTCCATGTTTAAATTCCTCCTTTTCCTAAACAGATGTAAATATTTTTTTACACTGTAAGTATTGTTAAATGTTTAGTCGTTTTATACAGTCCATGCAGAGGAACAATAAGTTATATTACAGAAGTTAGACTATGTTATCTTCTATTATTCTGAAATATATTACCTCATTTTTTACATTCTTCGTCATCCTATCTCCCATAGATGATTGGAGAAGAAAATTTAGATATTTATTCCAGTATAACAAGTTACTAACAGTTCTTTTCTGTGAACAGTTTGAGTATACTTGCTGTGTACTATCAGTAGATAAATTGTATAAAGGAAGAAATATAAACAAGTGAAACAAATGTAGAAATCATAATTTGATTACTGTTTACAGAAATGAAATGTTGGGATTATGTTTGTTTAAATTTTTTTTTAATTATATATAATTGATTGATTGATAATAATGTTATCACTCTAATTAATGTTATTAGTTCTGTATAATTTCAATTGTTTAATTTAGTGTCGAAGTACCGAAGTGTCTAGACATGTATTTTAAATTAGTTAATAATTTTTGTTTTTTATCAAGTCCAAAAGCTATGAATTCCAAGACTTCAATAAAAACAAAAAAAAAAAGAAAGGCATTTCCAAGTAATGATGCCTTAAGTGTCGTCTATTAGTTGTTTTTTGTTTGTAGAATACTAACAAATTATAATCACAACAACTCTAGATTAATATTTTCTGTACATTGTCTGTTCCTAAAGTTTATTCTGTCCTCAGTTAAAAAAAAATTTGACTTCATTTCAATTTAAACTCCCAGAAGTCATGTATTGTCATGGTTCCCAATGTACCTGAAAATCGAGTAAACTTTGTAATATCCTGTCGTATTTGTTAGGGTGTCAATGGGTGCTGAATTAGAAAAAAAAAATTCTGTTTAGATTTTTTCTTAACTGATGAACCAGTAACTGTAACTTAAAACTGTATATGTTAAAGTGATAGCTCTATTAAGAGAGAGAAAAAGAAATGTTAAAAAGATAAAAAAAAAAAAAAAGGCTTGTTGGTAGAGCTCAGGGGATACCTTGCCTAGAGAGACTGATGAAGATGAAAAAGAATTGGTTATTTCATTTAAGCAGAAATTAAAATTCACATAAATTGGTAACATGGATGGTTGTCGCATTTACTACTGTAATTATATATTATGCTAAATCATAACAGCCCAACAGTATAATTGCCCATAGTAATCATGAAGTGATTGATTGTATATTGAAAAATTATCCATGTAATAAGCAGCATGTATTAAAGTATATAGCAACATATCTTGTTTTATATGTTTGAACATTACTTAAGAAATAAATTTTAATTTATGTAATATAAAACCAAGTTGCATTTTCTGATTCCTATTGTTTCCAAATAAATAAAAAAGTAATAATGATAAATACACAAAAAAAAAAAGAGCTGTTGGGTTTTAGTATTATCCAAAATCCTAATTTGACCTAGACAATACTTACTTTCTCAAGATAACTAGCGACTAAAAGTAAATTATTTTTTTCCACTGTTTGTCATTAGTTATTAATATACAAGTTAAATAGTAAGTAATTAATATAATGTGTAAATATATATATATATTTATCTTTTAGTAAAACCTATTAGTTATTTGATTATGATTTCCAGTCATTATCAGTTTTACAAAATTAATTTTAGTATTTTTGAATTTTATTATTTCTTGTTTTTTGTGATTTAAACAAGATTGAAACTATTTATTTACTTTTTGTTACTGTGTATGAGAAAAATGAACTAATATAAAACATAAATATTTAATTAATATAGATAATTTATATATTTGTGATTGTATTGCTTTTAAAATTATTGAAAACTTTCATTTTGTAAAATTATTTTGTTGAATTATATTTACTTTATAATTTTCGTAATACCATTGTTAATCAGCCTTTAAAAAAAAAAAAATAAGGAAACAGAACAAAGCTCTTCCTACCTTTATTTTACATAAATAATTATAAGAATTTATTTGATTGTGACAGTTATTGAAAAGTTAAATACATTTAGTTAGCATTTTCTAAAACACTAGTCATTCCCAAATATTATTGTTTCCCTTAATAACAATTAGAAGAAAAAAATGCAGATTTCAACTTAATAAATGAATAATGGATTATTTTCACATCTAAGACATATTCAGATGAATGTTATTAGCAGGAATTAATATTGAATGGATTACTAAACTGGATCGAGTTAGATACATAGCAGAACAAGTTCTTCATTTATTTCTACTTCTTTTTTCATGTTAAATTTTCATTTCAATGAGTAAAGTTTTGAATTTAAATATTTCATTTTCTTCTCTTGATGTAATTTATATTTTATACATGTGGGGTTAGTATGAACTCAAAATTCTCCATTAATATTTCAGAGCAAATTTAATTTCATAAGAGATCTATTACAGCTATTAAATTGTATGTTATCTTTAAAATAGTGATTTATTTAAATTCTTATTTTCTTAATGAGGAACTATTCAAGTCCTGTTTTAAAAATAAATATTACATCATGTGAAGACATTCAAGCTCTTCCAATTTCAAGTCTTGATTTATATCTGTAAATATATTAAAACAACCGTTTATCATTCATCAACACAACAAAACCAACTTTTGTTTTTTAAATAACATTTTCAAAAATATAAAACAACTAATCAACATAATTTTGTAAAAATAACTTGATTTTTTTTTTCTATTGTTGCGACAGCTAAAAATTTAATGGGCCATAATGTTTTCCACTTCTTTCTAATATTAAAAGTATTTGATTATAGGTAAGCACTTTTTCATTAAAGCCTCAAATTTATTAAATTATATTATATACCATTTAACCTTATTTTAATTTTTCTGATTACTGTCTACTTATTGGTATGGATCACAGTGGAAAAAAGGATCTTTGAGACATTTTGATCAATTAGCAATAAACTCATACTTTACCATATTACTTACCAGCTATATCAATATACCCAAGCCAATATATTGGCTTTACATTTTTAGTTTTTTATGGCAGAATACTTTAGTTGAAAGGAAAACAAAAACAATGCTTCTTGTTGCATCAGTTTCATTTTTTTATATCTTATATTATTTATTTATATAGCAGAAAAACGTAATAAAACTTGGCTTAAGTTTTCTCCTTGAAGGTCTTTTAAATTATGTATATAACATACTTTCTAAACAAGTAATGATGGGTTCAGAATTTAATTTGCAAATTACTCAAATTGTACTGAACTGTTTTGTATTGTAGGTACATATAAAGAGGTATGTACAAATGCGTATGTTTTCTACAAATTTTGAATTTCAACCATTTGGTGAATACTAGAAAAAAAACATGGACAAGAACTACTATTTCAAGATCCCAAAACATAGCCTTGATAATCTTGAACTACAAACCAGTAAATTTTTTTTTTTTTTTTTTATGACATCAAGTTAAATCACATTAATATAGTATGAGTGTTCTGAGAGGTACTATATTTCACATCGACTGCTAGTAGATAATAAGTAAATAGAAATGGTGCATCATAATCACCGAGAATTCCATTTCTATCGTTAAGTAGCTCCTAAGATGTGAATATGGCCCTTAAAAGATAAAACTAATGAAATGTTTATTTAGAATCATCTTGTACCCAGAGCTCTCACGCCTCCATTTGGTGTGCTGAGTTAAAATAGCTTTATCCTGTTATCAATTGTGGTACTACTATGTCTTATCAATTGTGGTACTACTATGTCTTATCAATTGTGGTACTACTATGTCTTATCAATTGTGGTACTACTATGTCATCAATTGTGGTACTATTGTGTTTCTTCTGTCCTTAAGAACCAAAATCCTTACATCCTCAATCTGTTCACAGCATATGTTCCTCATGTCCACTCTCACTAGATCCTATCCCACAAACTTTTATGTTCCTTCTCGTATAACTGCTTTCTTCAAGAAATCCTTTTATCATTCATGCTACCTAGCTTTGGAATTCCGTGCCCATCTCGATTATCAATCTTCCATATATGTGTCAGAATATATTTTCTTTTTTTGTGTGTGTTCCTTTCTTTCACTTACTATATATAAAATATATAGTGAGGAACGTATTGCAGTTATAAAAATTTTCTAATCTAATTTTTCAACAGAAATACACATTTTGAGTTCCTAGAGTCCAAATAATCAAGTCCTGTATAATTATCAGTGTGTGTATGGGAACAGGCCAGCTCAAAAATGAAGTCTTGCATTATAGAAATTTAATATTTAAGATATATATGCCTAGAATATTAGAGCAACTTTTTCTATAAAAGAGTTCTTTATTTTTATTAAACTCATTATATCGAGGTACAATTAAATAGTCTTCAATATCTCCATGTTCTTATCCCTATTGGAATAGTCTGACAATGCATAAATGTCAAATTTTCTTCTTGAGTTCCCTTGATTTGATTTATTTGAAATAAGTAACTGTCTTATTGTTAGTAACAAAAATGGCTCAATATAAGTTATGAAAGAATTTGATAATGAACCAAAGGAGAGAGAAAGCAATAATTTTCCCAGGTTGAAACCAAATTTCTGTGATATATTGTTGGAAAGATAAAGATTTTGATATTTCAATATAAAGTCATGAAATGTGATGAAAATATTATGGACAATAGCTTTTGAAGCTTGTTAAACGAAAAATAAATAATGCATCGAATTGTCATTACTGAATTCTTTAAAAACTATTTGATCGTATTTTTGTTCCCAGAAGGTAAAAAACATGTCCAGTTTTGTTTTTGTTCAGAGAAGCCATTTTCCATAACATTAAGCTGTTAAAGTTTGTTTCTTAGTTACTAAATTATTTAATAAAAAAAAATGAACGGTGTTTTTTACCTCTGGGGGCTGAGATTTCAAGGAGTGTTTGTGCTTTGATAAAACATATGGTCATCTTTAATAACTTCAGCCAGGATAACAGGTGTAAATTATTAAATATATGGAATTAGGTGTCCTAGAGTAAAGTTTATTTTCATTAATTAATCAGTTAAAACAATTTTAATACTATAGGTAAAAGAATTTCGTAATAATATTTTGAATGTATGGGATGTTAACTTCTTTTTTTTTAACCATTACTGTATTATTTGAGATACTAAAATTTTAAAAAATTTGGCTAGTGTTAAATGCTATTGTAGAAACAAAAATTACTATTAATATAATTATTCACTATCGAGTTAGAGATTAAAGTTGTTCTGTGGATTTATATGTTTGATAGTTTAGTGTTTTCTGTATTTAGGCTGATCTGGGTTTGGACAGCGAATGGTGGTGCTGTTATCGAACCTCCGGGTTTGCTAATTCTTTTATTACTGTATTAATCTTTGAAATCATTGAATGAAAGGACTTGGATTAGCTTTCTGCAATAAATAAATAGTAATTATTTCTTCAACTTACCGTGAAGGGTTCTTTTAATGTTTCCCTTTCTACACCCAATGGTATTTTTGAGAGACTGTGTGGTTTGATCTCAAAAACCACTTCACTAAAGTACTAATTTTTATGAGTTGAGTGACCACACAACTATTTGTACCAAACCATAAATAAACAATATTTTTTTTTTAAAGCAAGTAGTTAGCAAATTTAGCATTATATAGCTGAACAGTCCGTGGTTTACCACTAAACTATCGAACATTTAGTATGAAAATCTGTTTTGGAAGATGGTGTACATAATCCTTATCAATATTAATTCCGTTTTCTTTTTTTTTTTTTTTTTTGCAAATTTAAGCATATTTAATTGAACCTCAAGAGGTAATATAATAATTGCTATGTAATAGAAAAATGAGTATATCATTTAAAAAGAATGTTTGATATCATGGCAGGTCAAAAATAATAATTTCATTTGAAATAAAAAATTATGAAAACATTTTAAGAAAAGAGGAATTTGTATTTATTTACTTGCTGGATTCAGGCTAAATTCATCTGTTGGAGAAAATCTATTTTCAGTTAGTTATTGATTTATATCTATTAAGGAATGGAATACACTCTAAAGGCATGCTTACTCTTGATCAATGAGTTTGTTGGGGAAAACTTGTGGTCGAGATTTGATGCTGAATTCGGGTTAATATTGTTCAAGAAATAGTGTAAAACCCTTCTAGAGTTATGATATTGTTTTATTTTTGATAATCTCGTAATATTATCATTAGGATTGATCAAGTTGTGTTCAATCAACTTATTTTTACATATCTCAACCTAATGTTCATTATTGGCAACTTTTCATTTTATTTGTTTTAACTAATATTCAGAACCGCGCTAAAAAATTAAGTGATTACTCATTTTTAAACTTGATTTATTGCAGAGGTCTATATTTTATAGCTTAATTTTGTATTAGATTAATTTATTATTGGCCACAGAATTTAAAATGTTGAAAGAAAATTAAGTGTTTGATGAATTATAAGCTACTAGAGGGGGGAGGAGGGTAACCAATTTTTTCTATGTTCTCCCAAAATTTACTGTTTTTTTTTTTTTTATATCAACAAAAATAAACAAAACAATGCAATATGTGGATTTATCTACATCTTTTATGTCTGTCTACTCTTAAATAACAAAAATGAATTGATGATATGATTATGTCCTCAAGAACAGTAAAATATTTCATGTAGATCATGTTCTGATTCCACACAGAAATGTAATTTTAAGTATTTTTATTGAATAAGGAGGCAATTACTACAAAACTATTAAATTTATCTGATTGCCAATCATAATATAAGACAAAGTTTTCTTTAAATGAAAGTTCATTTTTTCTTTATTAATGTATTTTAAGGGGTTAAATTAGGCTAAATTGTGTTTTTCTTAAAATCATGAATTATTCACATTTTTTTTATCATGATCTTACTGGGCTAAAGATTTTCTATTTAAAAAAGAAAAAAAACTCTTGTTTTATACTACATGCTTTAGGTCTGTCTTCATTTACTATACTGAGGTATGTTTCAGAATGAGACTCACTTTCATTCTTGTAAAAAAAGAAAATATAGGATATGAAATAGTGCATCAGAATATCAGTGTTTACTGATTACTTAAATTTTTAAAATAATGAAACCTGCCAATTGCTTGAACTAATTTCATGAAAACATAAATATTAGGATTAGAAGATAAGAACATTTGGTTGATCACTTAATACCATAAGGATCAATTCCCATCATTGAGATTCTGAGTAAAAAGCTCTATCACTTTGGGTGATAATTTTTATGTATTTATTTTTTGAAAAATCAGCATTTTATTTACTAACAAAATGTCCATTTTAGTAATTATTTTATATGAAAATACAGGTACTTAGAAGAGATGAGAGCACTGAAGAAAAGACATCATATAGATAAAAGGTTTGTAATAATTTATCGTAATATTTTTTTCGGACAACATATACTTTAAGGAACCAGTGTAGATATTTACCACCCAGAGCAAATTTTAAAAATATAAAAATAAACCATATATTACAAATAACCATGACATTATTAATGTTCTATTTTTCTAA